TACTGTTTCATTACTTTCAACTATTTCATTCCATTTCGTAATAGTTCATCTTTCTTTGAACAATGCCACTTGTTCTCGTTCATATCGGCATTCATGCGATTATTCACTCCACTTTCATTGTGATGTTGGGAAGTTATTTCATCATCTCACCCAAAATATGTAACAAGATCGGCACATTTCACCATCCACTTCATGATATCCTTCTTTATGTGATCAAACCACTGATGAACCTCAACTGTCCACTTAACATTCCATGGTACATTTTGCATACGAGTCCTACTGTTGCTGTGTATTGCACACAGCTGCTGCAAAAAAAAAGAATCGGGATCATTTAGTCGGAATGGCCGATATCCTTTCAGTTCAAAGATCATTTTTCTTCCTTTGATTGTTGCGACTACAACTTTATCATTCCTCCGATGATTTCTTGTTCGATCAAATGAGCAACATCGAATCAAACTCCGTTTTTTGCAACACAAATTCTTCCGCGACAATTATGCGAATCTGCTCTCGTGTCCTATGCAATAAAAACGCAAGAAAAGAACACCTTTAAGCAATTTGAGATGTTATTTTGTTGCTATCCGATTCTCTCCCATCTTGAGCGTATAGGCTAAAACAACTATCTGCTCATCTCATTTATACCCAATGGCAATTTTATTGTTAGCTGATGATCCTTTTGCGAATACGTCTCAAGTTGTCTCTACGTTGTCGCGACTCTCATTAACTGAACACTATATTCAGTGCTCGCGCCCGGCGAATTTCGATAGTTGAGCGAAGTCCAATTTGCCTGACACTTCTCAGCTTCGCGAGTATAGTTCGTCTCAAGGTACGATCATCTCTCAATTCTTATCAAAGCTTAGCTTCCTTGGGACAAAGTTTAATATACAGTAGTGGCCAGAAATTTATGAACAAACGGTTTTTTCATGATTTCTCTTTTGAAAGTCACTGAACGTCTCCAAATTTGCAACAATTATTAACTACGTGTTTTATGATCCACACAGAAAATTTCAACCTTCAGCTCAAATTTGGGTTTAGAAAATTTTAGATTTTTCGAAATTAATGAAGGCAGGTGAAAGATCACTTGATCCGTTTATTTGATTTAAATAATGTATAACCCAACAGAACAGTCAAGTAAACAGTCACTAACATTAAGCAAGTCTAGCACATTGCCCAGAACTCTCTAAAGTATTGGATACATAAACTGGATTTGAATGCGGGGTCAACTAATGAACTCACTCTCTAGTGGGGTCTCTCTCTGTAGTCCCGTCTTTTCGTGGCTCTTTCATTGACATACGAATTTGTAGGTCCTCCCTAGTGGTTCTGTAATGTTTGGCTCAAGAGTCTGGCCTGGCTGGTCTTTTAAAAGCACCCCATGCTGTCGAAACCACTCCTGCATGTGAGAGGCTCGATGCTTTGAGTCGCTGCTCTGCTGACAGACAAAGCCAGGTCGTGTGGCAGCCATGTCTACGGATACAATAACATCTAGAATCTACGTATTCCTTAGTTCTCAAAGTCTAAGAAGAGCGCTCGCTGTGAAGTGGGTGGGAGTAGAATGTGATTGACTAAGCCTGAAACGAAGGTTGACACAGGTTTCTAAGGTCATCTGGAATGACAAAAACATATTACTGATGCATGACAGCAAGGATACTAGTAATGTACGGCACGAGAGGGAACGTTTTGATCCAAAGAATCAGCTGCCAATTGTGAAACTTGGCGGAGGCTTGATAAGGTTGCCTTGGAAAAAAGTGGGACCACGCTACACGACTGAGGTAGCGATGAAGGCAGACGTTTGCTGTCATGTTTTGGAAGGTGTCATGTATCCGTAGGCGTGGCTGCCGCCCGACCTGACTTTGCCTGTCGGCAGAGCAGCGACTCAAAGCATCGGGCCTCTCACATGCAGGAGTGGTTTCGACAGCATGGGGTGCTTTTAAAGACCAGCCAGGCCAGACTCTTGAGCCAAACATTACAGAACCACTAGGGGAGGACCTACAAATTCGTATGTCAATGAAAGAGCCACGAAAAGACGGGACTACAGAGAGAGACCCACTAGAGAGTGAGTTCATTAGTTGACCCCGCATTCAAATCCAGTTTATGTATCCAATACTTTAGAGAGTTCTGGGCAATGTGCTAGACTTGCTTAATGTTAGTGACTGTTTACTTGACTGTTCTGTTGGGTTATACATTATTTAAATCAAATAAACGGATCAAGTGATCTTTCACCTGCCTTCATTAATTTCGAAAAATCTAAAATTTTCTAAACCCAAATTTGAGCTGAAGGTTGAAATTTTCTGTGTGGATCATAAAACACGTAGTTAATAATTGTTGCAAATTTGGAGACGTTCCAGTGACTTTCAAAAGAGAAATCATGAAAAAACCGTTTGTTCATAAATTTCTGGCCACTACTGTATGTACTTTGGTAGGAAAAAAAAGGAATTGATCCATATCATCAGACCATCGATCAAATAAGTTCAAGGACAAATCCAATTATAGTCTTCACGCGAGGTACACTTTCTGCGAAAACATCACGTTTGCCCCATTGAACCTCTGTCATTTTAGACGCTTTATTTCCTCACTTGAGTAATTCACACACTGCAAAAAGGAGTGCGAATCTTTTGAATACCTTACCAAAGCCAATTCAAGGTACCTTCTACTTGCAAACAAAAACATAGTTCGAGTGCGAGTCTCTTTATATTCAGAGCGATTCCGATCCTCTCAAGTAGCAGTGCAACGTAGGAAATTTGCGAAAATACTACGAGGTACAATCTTTGCAAGCACTTCATCAATTCGCGATATCCTTTCTTGAACCAACTCGTATAGGTTCGAGCGTTCCCACTGCAAGTCGAACGTGCAAGAACACGATAATCATCATTGTTGGTGATCCGTGCAATTCAGCGATTGATTACAACACCAGGTACATTGCAAACATTCCGTCGAAAAACCTTGATGAATACTGACTAATCTTTATGTCAACGCGAGTGTAAACAACTATTTGCGAAAAAAAAACATATTCCACAGCTGTGACTTCAACATACTTATCCTCACCTTTTAGACATGAATCGTCACGAAGACGCGAAAAAAGAGCTCAAGCGACTGAAATCAGCGTTACCTGCTCTGCCGTCTCCGGATAAACTATACGATGACATCGTCGTCAACTGTCAAGATGTGATGCACATCATAGAGCGCTTCGAACGACTTAAACAAGATACCCATGTTTTTTACAATCGTAACTTAACTTACAGTGAACTAGAACGTGATGCTTATATAATTGAACTGAGAACTGAAAATTGTAAATGTCGTCTCCAACTTCTTCTCAAACAGTTGCGCTTGTTGTACTCTTCTGTTCCTCTCCTCATTGCGAAGAAGGCGATATCCTCGAGAGCATGGCAATCGAAAATGGAAATTCCCCAGACTTACACCTCTCAGGCCGGCAACAGAAGACCCTTGCTGATCAGTCAGCCCGACATGGAACGGATCACCAAGGACCACTTGCAAGCAATGGAAGACTTCTTTGCCACCTTACGACAGTTGAAAGCTGACTGTCTGACCCAAGAGCGAGAACTTCAGCAAACCACTCAAAAGAAATTCTCGAGGCGCTGAAGTCAATGAATGAAACAATCAAAGAAATGCACGAAAAGGTTGAACAGCTGGAAGCAGCTCAGAAGTCACCGCAACCAACAATGGTCTCTATTGCGATCGAGGCGAAAATAAACGAAGAGCGCGAGAGAATAGCGGAAAACGCGGAGTTTATGGAACCTCTCGTCGTAGACGAAGAAATGGATGACGAAGAGAAATCATTGCGAAAAGAAATCGAACAACTCGAAGCTGAACTGACCGACCTCAGCCGACACAGGCGAGAGCTAGCGCGGAGAAGGATTTGTCGACCCCGCGAGTATAGAGCTGGAGTTTATCGCACGGAAGAAAAGACGTATGCCATGTACATTTTGTGGAGTGAAAGGACATCACTACTCCGACTCATGTACCAAAATACGCACAGGAAAAGAAAGAAAGGAGTATCTCGATAGACATGGAATATGCAAAATTGTTTGGAAATAGAATGCGAAAGAAGCGACAACCGGCCACCCAAAAAAAAACAACACTTTTTCTTGTGGGCCGGAGTATCGCGGACTGCCCGCGATCTAGAAGACCAATGGTTGATTTGTCAGTCAAAG